CTTGCTGTGTCGTGGCACTCTCTCTCTCCCGCCACGTCCTGATCGTGTCTGCTGTCCTAAATACAAGTGATACCATCATCTTCAACACACATACATGGGTATAGTAACACTCTAGAGTGTATCCCTCGAGGGAACCCGTGCTGGGAATGAGTGGCGCCGATGTTGCAGCAGAGGCTGCCGACGTCACCACTAGTACGCAGGGCAGAGTTGACAACCTGGAGAGCAAAGTTTCAGGCCTGCCGGACGAGGTACAGCAGCTGGCTGGGCTGCTTCGATCCGCCCTCGGAAAGTTAGAGAAGGAGGGGGAGTCCGGCGGCGCTGGGGTGGGCGCTGTCGTTACGGGCGATGCGCCCACCCGCGGTACCCAGGAGGGGGCACCGCAAAACGAGGGAATCACGCCACCCTCAGACCCGGCGGTTGGGCCGGGTGGCGGACGTGACAGGGGATCGCTCTCCCAAGGTGAGACAACCGAGACATATGGCGGCGGTACCGGTGGTTTTGGCGGATTCGTCGGAGAAGGAGATTGTTTTCAGCAGAACCCATATAGCAAAATGCGTGTGTCAGTGCACGCGCCGCGTCTCGAAGGGGGCCAGGGATATTACTCGTGGAGAAGGGCCTTCATCCAGGCAGCTAAAACAGTAGACATGGACGGCCAGTTCGTAGGGGCCACGGAACCCCAGCCGGACGTCGGGGACATGAACAAACCCAAAGCTACGTTGCTGGCAGAGGGGTACTCCGAGGCGCAGATCCACCGCAGCCTCCAAGCTTTCCACTTTCTGTCCTCGGCCCTGGTGAGGGAGCCAGACAAGGCCGTCTTCGGGAGATGTGTGACGCCGAAGCAGGCGTTGGATGAACTCGACAAGGTGCACAACCCGGAATCGCAGGTAGCCACACAGGAGTTGCTCAGCAAGTTTCAGAACTTCGCAATGCCGGCCGACAAAAACCCGACTGAATCGCTTATCGCCATGGAGCAACTCGCAAGTCGTCTGAACGAGAGAGGGGTCAGGGTCGAGGCTTCTTACGTGCTGTCGCTCTTCCTTTCGGCCCTACCGGCCGAGTACGACCATGCCAAACTGACTCTGCAGTCCGCACCGACTCTGGACCGGGGAGAGGTCATCAGAGTGGTGGGCTCCCAGCACTCCAGCATCAAGCAGGGGAAGAGCCATCGGAACAGCAACCGCAACAATCACAAGGCGTCTGAGCAGGGATTACTCGTGAGCGCCGACAATGGCAGCGGCGGAAAAGCTGGTCGCAACCGCGGCCGCGGGGGACGCGGCGGTGGCGGAAACGGCGAAAATGGCGGCAGCGGCAACGGCAACGGCAACGGCGGTGGAGACGGCAGCAGCTACGGCGGCCGTCGTAGGGGCCGGTGCTACCGGTGCAAGAGGCGAGGGCACCAGTCGTTCTCGTGCACTACCCCCATCGCCGACTTCATGACCCAGTGCGAGAACTGCGACGGGTATGGACACGATAAGAGCAAGTGCCCGTCGGCGAAGGACGAGGAGGAGGCGAAGGGCGAGACGGCGGTCATGGCGGTTGCGGTGGCGAGCGATGACGAGGAGCTGGATGTGGCACGTGAGGCCTTGTAAGAAGAGGCGGGGGAAAGACACAATATCCGCGCTGGTCACTACGCGCGCACCATCCACCCACAGCAGCAGTAGGAGATGGTGAAGATAGCACCATTGCAACAGCGTGGAAGGGTGGAGACACAGAAAACCGGCCGCAAGGCCGTGTGCCCCATGGCCGCGACGGAAGGGGCGTGGGGGGGGCAATATTGAGAAGGATACGGCGAGATGGCCGTGCGCCCATAGCCGCGACGGGAGGGGCGTGGGGGGGCAACATTCAGAGAACACGGCGGTAGGGCCGTGTGCCCACAGCCGCGACGGGAGGGGCGCGGGAGGGCAACAACTAAATAACACGGCGGTAGGGCCGTGTGCTCGCAGCCGCGACGGGAGGGGCGCGGGAGGGCAACAACCAAATAACACGGCGGGAGGGCCGTGTGCTCGCAGCTGCGACGGGAGGGGCGCGGGAGGGCGACAATCAATGCAGCCCCATAGCGCGTCGGGAGGGCGTGGGGGGGAGGCAAACATTAGCCCCATGGCGCGTCGGACGGAGCGTGAGGGGGAGAGAAAATCGAAGCAGCCCCGTGGCGCATCGGAAGGGGCGAGAGCGGGAACCCCGCGGCACGTCGGAAGGCGCGTGGGGGTAGGGTACTTGCATCGTGGTGCTAAAACGGGAACTCCTTTTGTGGCGAGGCTACAGGCCGGGACGAGCGCTGGGAGGGGAGGAACACGCATCACAGCGCTGGATTGTGGCACTTCTTTCTTGACGGTATTTGGTGTTTGATGATATTCGTAGCGAAGTTGGTAAATCCTCGTGAGTTGTCATGACTGTACTTTGGTTGAAGAGCCAGGGAGGGTGTTCCGTGTTTCTCGTAGGCGTTCGCGCCCACATGTTCAGTATTTCCTGATAGTCATTCGGTTGAGACCCTCATTGATTGCGGCTACGTGGTGCCGTTCTCTAGGTTGCGCAATGTGCAGGAAGATGGGATACTGTTGGAACCGCTGAAGGAACGTAGGAGGAAAAAATGGGACACCAGTGTTGTACTCCACGAGAATAGAGGATTGCCGAAAAAATGCATGCCGGTTATGTGTCGCTCAGAAAATGTTGGATGATTGCCTTCCGCCCCGGTGCGCTGTATTTCATCAGCGAGGGGGGGCGATATTGATGTTTGTCTGATGTTTGTTTGAAGAACAAACAGTAGTGCAGCCGCATTGTAGTTGTTTGAACCAACTCCTCAGGATAGTCTTGCACTTTTACTGCTTGCCAAGCGTTGGGATAGGGCGTTTGATGGAACGGTGAATATGGGTGGGGGTTTTGACCCGGAGGCCGGGTTTCCCCCTGTTGTTTTTTTTTCGTTGGTCTTTTGTCCGTTTGGTTTTTTGGTCACACCCGGCGTGTGAATGCCCACTAAGTGGTTAGTTACTAGCGCAAAGAACCAGGGAGGGTGTTCGTGTGTGCATGAGCGGATGAGAATATTCCAACGGGACTGTAGGAAGTGGCTACGCAGATAGGAATTGATAGTCCCCCGGGTTGGTTTCATGGTTGATCCACGGGACTCGCCCCTGCGGGAGTGCTTGCTGTGTCGTGGCACTCTCTCTCTCCCGCCGCGTCCTGATCGCGTCTGCTGTCCCAAATACAAGTGATACCATCATCTTCAACACACATACATGGGTAAGTAACAGTATCTTCCCGTGTTGGTACCGAAGGGGCCTGCCATGTTTCTGACATGTTCTCCTCCGCGGTCGGTCCGCAGTCGGCAACCATGGATAGGAAAGATGACATGGATACGGTGTCAGGAGGTTCTGAGATACCCACCGCGATGTCGGACAGAAGTGGGCACTCTGGTGAGGCCTTGCGCGCCTCTGCGGTATTGGGGCAGAATCCGTGCCTGAACGTGAGGAAAAAACGATGCCCGTGCTTGTATGGTCCCTGGCTGTGTCGCCCAGGTGTCAAAATGGGGTTTTGAGTCGTTTGGGGGTTGCCTTGGGAGTGTGTGTGTGTGTGTTGTGTTTTCGTCCTATTTTTTATGGCGACAGTTCCCCCATTTTTCGTGGTGAGACGTGTAGACTACTACACTATTCAGCGTATGTGTATGTATGTAGTGTGCTACACTTTTCAATGTATTTTTTCGTACAACTACGACCATCCAGGGTCACACAGGAGGGGTTAACCACTAGGGCTTTTTTCTTCTTGATATTTTTTTTCATGCCCCACCTGATAGATATACTTGTAGCAATGCCAAGTGGTTGGTGTTGGATGTTCCCATGGAATGAGGTAGAGCGGAATACCGGGTGACATGTGTGGTACGTGGAATGGATTCCAGGAATGCACAAGGTACCCCTGTTTGATACGGCGTCGCCCCCTCAACGGGGCTTGTGTGTGTGTAGTCTATGTGGATGAAAATAGATCACAACAAGTTTTTCTGCTCGGCGCAAGCTCGCCGAGTTGCCGATCCCCTATTCAACACACGTCTTGCGACAAGCTACCCCCAGTTTGGATTGTCCTAACACCCCAGCGCGGTTATATCATACGGGATCCCGAGGTGGGGCTAGCTACAAAAGAGTTCGGCCAGAGAACAGTTACACGGAAACTATGGAGCAGCAGCTGGATGAGCTCCAGCTCTCGGACGAGCAGCGAAACGTAATCGACGCTCTTATCAAGGAGCAGGTCAAGATCAAAGTAGAATCAGCAGCAGCAGAGCGCCCCGTAACACAGAGCGAGGGCATGCCTTCCGAAGGAGGCGACACTCGGCTGGGCCGGCTGGCTCGGAGTCAAGCCCGTGACCCAAAGACCAGCTCCGATCGCCGGCGGACGTCAGCCTCATCGACACCCTCGCGCGGGCCTTGCAGAGGGTCAAGATAAGACCGGAGGATGAATACAGGGAAGTCCCAACCCCTAAAGAAACAATACGTATTAGCGCAGGTATCACAATCCCTGCATTCACCGGGAAGTTTAACCCCGAGGACGATGTACAGACGGCGGTAATGGTTTTCACCAGTCAATTTCGATCTTTGTTGGAGCAGGAACGTTGCCTTGGGGCAATAGAATCGAAGACACGATTCGTGTAGGGAAGACGGATGCGAATATCTCGGCATTGAAGGTGGAGCATGGGACGGAAGCTGTAAATCGGGCGGTTGAGGCTTGGCAGCTGATTATATCCAAGATACAAGTACCGACAATAGTCCCTNACGTTGCCTTGGGGCAATAGAATCGAAGACACGATTCGTGTAGGGAAGACGGATGCGAATATCTCGGCATTGAAGGTGGAGCATGGGACGGAAGCTGTAAATCGGGCGGTTGAGGCTTGGCAGCTGATTATATCCAAGATACAAGTACCGACAATAGTCCCTGCAATCCTAGCTAGTGGTTGCCCCACTGAATCGTGGGATCAATTTCTCAACTTTTACCGAGTGCACGCAGAAACGGACAAGTTGGAGATGCAGGAGCAGTGGTACTCGTTGAAGCAGGAAGTAGGGGAGGAGCCTCGGCGCTATCTCACAAGAGCATCAGTACTTCGCCAGAAACTGGAAGCTTACGGTTGGGTGCAATCCGATCATGATGCTAACGTCCACTATGTACGCAACCTTCTGCCCGATTTCAATGTGCAGAGGAGCGTGTTGTTGGCGCAGTCGGAGGTCAAGACGGAATTGGTAGAGAAAGTGATTCTGACTGCCTGGGCGGCGACGGAGGCCGCTAGGAAGAGGGCGTCGGAGAGCGTGGGGGCGTATGCCCTCGTCACTGGCGGTGATGACCGTGGTGGCGGGCGCGGGAACATGGGGGATAGGGGGAAGACGAGAGGACAACGGAGGACGGCAGCGTGGCAACAGCAGCAACAACCGCAGCAGCCACAGCAGCAGCATCAGCCGTACTTCAAGCAGCAGCAACAGGTATACCCGCCGCCGTACCCGCCTGAGATAAAATATTGTGACCTCCACAACTCCTCGTCCCACAGCAACGAGGAATGTCGCTTGCAGCGGGGTTGGGGAGGTCCCTCGGGCGGCCAAGGTGCGAGCTACGGCGGAAGGCACGGGCCCCAGCATGGGAGCCGGGGTGTTTTTGGAGGAGGACGTCATCAGCAGCAGCCGGCAGGAGGAAGATTCGGGGGGCGTGGTGCCGCTTCCGGTGGGAGGAGCAGGGGCCCTTTCCACCAGGGACCGCCGGGCAGCAACCTCCCCGCCTACCCTATACCTCAGCGGGGCTACGACTACAGCGCCTACCCCCCCATGTACCGCCCGCAGGGAAATGAACCTCCCATCCACCCGAATGACCCTCGCAAGCGGTGTGAGAACTGCGGTGAACTCGGCCACAACCATGTTCTGTCCTTCGCGGGTTGATGTCGGAAGGCCAGCTGGCATGCCGGCCGCCAACGCGCCGCCTAAGCCCCCACCGCCCCGGCCGCCGGCCGGTGGCTACAGCCAGCGGCCGCCGTGGGCACACTCGTACGGGCAGGCCAACACCGCGCAGCAGTGCGGCGGAGAAGGGGTAGAGCCAGGAACAGCAGGAGCGACGGTGGCGACGATGGCAGCACCATCTACGGGGAGGCATGCAGTGACGCACGTGACCGGTGTTTATCAACAACCGGTGACGCACGCGAGCGGTGTGTACGAATACCCACTCCAACCGTAGCAGCCGGAGTACCTATCCCCCCCCTTCCAACAGCAGCAGCCAGTCCCCGCCCGTTACGCCTCTCTCGCGCCTTCGACCGGAGCAGCTTCGTCGGCAGGGGGGACTTTGCATGCGTGTGGTGTAAGGGACATGTCAAGTGAGTACCAGAGTGAGATTTCGAGTGGATTCGTAGGGGGTGAGGGGGATGCCTTGATGAACTCTATGCNATCAGTAGCCGGTACCTATCCCCCCCCTTCCAACAACAGCAGCTAGTCCCCGCCCCTTTCGCCTCTCCCGCGCCTTCCTTCGACCGGAGCACCTTCGTCGGCAGGGGGGACTTTGCATGCGTATGTTGTAAGGGACATGTCAAGTGAGTACCATCGTGAGATTTCGAGTGGATTCGTAGGGGGTGAGGGGTATGCCTCTATACCGGTTGTGAGGGCGGAGCGTGTAGGAGTTGAAGAATGGCTTGCAGCCTCCGGTGCAACTAACCACACCACCGGAGACCCCACGAACATGTACGATGTGATCATCCCGCCCCTTGGTAGCGAGAGAGTGCAGATTGGTGATGACAGGACGATGCGAGTGCTTGGAATCGGATGTTTAAACGTGAGGTTTCATCTTGAAGGTAGAGACTTTTGCGTGAAGCTTACACAAGTACGTCATGTAGAAGGAATGGTGTTCAATCTTTTCTCCCTCCACCAAGCACAGGGATTGCAACGTATTGCCTTGGACGACGTAGGCACCCACCTTTTCCATGGCCAATTTACCTTTCCCCGTGGCGAGAGGGGTTCGTCGCTTTGGGCCACACGCTTGCAGCCAATTATGAAACGCCCACCGCTGTGCCTGTGATGCTTTTCCCCCCGTTGCCCCCTCCCCGCGCTGCTGGTGTACGTTTACATGCGAGTGATGGTAGAGTGATGTCAGAAACCCC